CTAACTGTAGTCACCAGACTGTACATTAGTCTCTAGAACTTATCTGATGAGAAAGGCAAATTGGTCAAAGGGAACAGATTTGCTTTTCACCCCTTTTGGTTCCATTGTAGAGGCCAGCACAGGCCAAACACATAAAAAGCACTCAGCAAATATTTAATGAATAAACCACATTTCAAAGGGTTTGCTGCTATGTAATCCATGTCAGGGGAGCACTCAGTGCTACCTCCAGTCAGGTGATAGCAAATTATAAGGTCTTCTTTATTCAAGCAAAATTAAATCAAAGTGCCCTTTACTCAAACTATAGGAAATTTCTGAGATTTATTTTGTGAGCCTGAATAGATTTTAGGATTTAGCGATAAAATACAGGACTGCTAGTTAAATTTGAATTTCAGATACACAGATAATTTTTATGAGTACATTCCAAATACTGTATGAGACATAGTGACACTTAAAATCACTGCTTATCTGACATCAGATTTAGATTAAATACAGGGCATACTGTACTCTTACTTACTAAATCTAGCAACCCTGTTTCAGCTTTTAGGCCCTGAAGCTGACTGAACTTCTCTTCCTCCCTTAAATGCTATTCAACTATTTTAACAGTGTCCAGCTTATATGAAGAGCACAGAAGCTACGACCTTCTTCGTCTTCTTTGAAGAGAAACTGAGGAAGAAACTTTGGAGCACACGTGATTCTGGATTAATGCAGAGGACGGTATTATCCACAATACCTGGTCAAGTCTATTACATTAAGTCTTGCAAAAAAAAAAAAAATTTTTTTTTTTTAAAATTAAAAAAGAAAAAAGGAAAAAAAGGAAGAAAAAAATAAAAGAATAGGGTTTCAGCCGTTTCCTAATGACATGGCCAGATGATGCCACAGAATCTTGGCATCACCAACAAGTACAGGCTGTGCTGGGGAATCAATAGTTGCTGAAGGGGATCCTGGGGGGAACTTTCCACAGCGGAGATTAGAAATAACTCAGCCCCATACTCATAAATTCCTGGAGTTCAGGGTGCTCTGTGCCCCTAAGCAAGAAAGCACAGACTTCATCCTAACTTCAAAAACTGCAGAGCTAGAATTACTACTTTTAAAAATCACGAAGGGTATCTCCTTTTCCAAACTACATTTTTAACCATTTCAAATGTCAGTGACTGCGTTGGGAAAGTACTTTTTTTTTTTTGGCTGGGGCTGGGTTTAAACCCCCCACCTTTGGCACCTGGGGCCGGTGCCCTACCCTTTTGAGCCACAGGCGCCTCCTGGAAAAGTACTTTTAAGTACAAGTGTCCCTCCACTTCAAGAAAGCCTGTCATGCACAAAAGATAAGCTTTGGTAAGTGCTAATATTTTGGAAGTGGTTGTTTACATTAAATAATAATTCACCGCAATACTCCATTACATATGAGATTCCCTCAGTATTTAAAAAAAAAAAAAAAAGCATCATTTACTTCCTTGCAATGAATTCTCAATTTTCCAGGTTTGGGGAGGGTTATATATTTGGGTTATATGAAAGTTGAGCCCCTTGTTCAGTTTAGCAGTCTGTGCTTTTATTGCTTTTATATTTTTTAATTAATTTTTTTTTTTTTTGAGACAGATCCTCAAGCTGTCCCCCTGGGTAGAGTGTTATGGCATCACAGCTCACAGCAACCTCCAACTCCTGGGCTCAAGCGAGTGTCCTGCCTCAGCCCCCCAAGTAGCTGGGACCACAGGCACCCACCACAACACCCGGCTACTTTTTGGTTGCAGCCATCATTGTTGTTTGGCAGGCCTAGGCTGGATTCGAACCTGCCACCTTAGGTGTATGTGGCTGGCGCCTTAGCCACTTGAGCCACAGGCCCTGAGGTTTTAAGTATCTATATAATAATTTATAGTTAGATTTTGTATTCTCCTTCCTTAAAACTCTAAAATACAATTAATTCCTCCTACTCTTTTTTATTTTTTTTTTGCAGTTTTTGGCTGGGGCTGGGTTTGAACCCTCCACCTCTGGCATATGGGGCCAGGGCCGTACTCCTTTGAGCCACAGGTGCCACCCAATTCCTCCTAGGCTTGTACAAAAAAACACTGCCTATAGAGCTCAGCTCTCACCTACCCTATTCCTGCTCCCTGATTCTTCTAGGACAAGCGTCCCTAAAACGTTCCAGTAAACCCCCTCATTTGATCTTCACTCTGTCATATCACCTCCTGAAAAAACCTTAAATACAGAGGCAGTAAAATATACAATTCACCATTATTTTTACAAATTAAGTCATTCCCTAGAAATAGCAGCGGTCACCCAGTCTTCACTTCTTAACAAACTTATTTGAGTTAGAGAAAAGTTGTGAGGTTTGGAGTGGCCGTGCGCCCCCACCCAGCCACACCTGCAGTTGACGCCCTCCATTCACATGGTGCCTGTGCCACAGCTAAAGGCGACATGAAGCATGAGAGTCTCCACAGCACTTTGTGCCCATCTCCCGAGGTTTATCTGAAGACCTTTTCTCATGCAGGATCCCATCCTGGAAATGACGTCACCTGTGTTTTCCATCTCCGTAAGCTTCTCTTGGCATTGGCAACTTTCTTTTTTTTTTTTTTTTTTTTGTGAGACAGAGCCTCAAGCTGTCCCCCTGGGTAGAGTGCCGTGGCATCACAGCTCACAGCAACCTCCAACTCCTGGGCTCAAGGGAGTCTCCTGCCTCAGCCTCCCAAGTAGCAGGGACCACAGGCACCCGCCACAACACTCGGCTATTTTTTGGTTGCAGCCATCATTGTTGTTTGGCAGGCCCGGGCTGGATTCGAACCCACCACCTTAGGTGTATGTGGCTGGTGTCTTAGCTGCTTGAGCCACAGGTGCTGAGCCAGCATTGGCAACTTTCAAACCTTCCCTGTTTTGATGACTTAAGGAATACTTACCTTGTATTTCATAACATGGCCCTCAATTTAGGCTTTTCTCATGATGAGATGGGCGTTACGGGCTTTAGGGAGGTGAAGTGGCCTTCCCTCCACACCATCCCAAGGGTTCCTGTGATCACAGGTGTCGTATCAATGTTACCCGAGCACCTGGCAGAGGTGGCATGTCAGTTTCCAGCAGTGCACTGCCCCTTCTCTCTCCTCTCCAGGCAGTCCTCTGCAGAAGGAAGCCGCTCTGCACAGCCCACCCTTAACGGGAGGGGTTGACCTTCACCTCTTGGAGGGGGCAGAACCTCCACTGATGATTTAGAGTCTACACGGGAGGGACATTCGTGTCTTTGCCCCCATTGATTCATGCAATCATTTGTTTGTATCACTGTAAGGTGTGGGCATTTTATCCTTTGAGACCTAATCCAGTGCCATTCATTTACTTGATTGCTCAAATTGTTCCAGCTTTGGCCACGGGAGTTTTTTTGGTTGGCTCCCGTGACCCTTTTAAACGCTTCCCCATACCCAACACTGTGGTCTGTATCGTTTTTTTGTTTTTCTTTCTTTCTGAGTACATCCTTTCTTTGTGAGACTACAGACGCTCAAGTTTCTACTGTACAGTTCCTTCTCCAGCACTAGATTCAGCCACTTCTCCAAGGAGCCCTGGTCTTTATATTGGAGAATGTGATTAGAAGTCAAGTCCTGGGCCCTACCAGGTGAAAGCCACTGTCATTTTAAAATCATTTCTCCTTTCCCTCTTTGATCTGGCTGTAGACTGAAGCTATAGATTGCATTCATGTCATTAAACTCAAACTCAGTTCCAGAAATGAAATTCCAGCATGATTTTATAATTTTGATGATTTTCACAATCCTTATTCTACTTTAAAGACTTTGATTTTAATTTCCTTTACTTTTGCTTTTTGTGTATTAATATTTTGTCTTTTTTCTTATTAAAGGGTTTAAGGTTTAGAGAATGAATTTCCTAAGGGAAGGAGGGCCTAGGTGCAACCTGTTAGCTTAAGTAAATGGCAGGGCACACCCGAGTCGGTGAGGGTGAGGAGTGGGTTGTATCTATCATCCTTCTTCAACCTTTGTTTGAAAATAATTACGTGGTGCTCACAGACATAGAAGAACAGTGGTATAAGAGGATGAAGAGGCCGCAACCAAGGAAGAGCAGGATGACACAAACACCCTCCCCAAGCCCGACAGCCACCCCGTAGTACCATGATGTTTTTTGTGTGAGGGCAGCTGGCTTTTCATGCCAGGAATGGCTTTTCCTAGTCTTGGTGTTAAGCATGCTTTCTATCCAACTTCAAATGGTTTTTAAAACCACAAGTATGTCCTCTAGTAGCCTAGGCTTACCACATTCTCATGCTACTAGTATTGAGAAAGCTTCCAAAATTCCACCAAGAAAAACTTTTAATTAATAAATAACCATATGCCCCCTGACAATCTGAATAGGTAAGTTTACATTACATGCTGGCCTGAAGGGTGACTCCTGTGCACATAGAGAACATGTCTTACACCTTTGTTTTGTCTTATTTTTTTGCTATTTTTGGCCGGGGCCAGGTCTGAACATGCCACCCTGGGTCTATGGGGCTGGTGCCCTACTCCTTGAGCCACAGGCGCCGCCCACTTACACCTCTGATTATCCTTCCTTCTTTCTACACTTCCCCTTCCATTCCCGGCCACGAATCCTTATTCTCCTCACACCAACTTAGACACTCTGAGTAACACTACAGAGACTCAGACAGAAGCTATCCGACCACCAGTGATAGAATCACAGCCCTCAGCCTACTCTGGAAAACCAGGGCCGCTCCGGGTACTAGTGCCCTGCCATCTGGAGCCAGGAGTCCCCAGTGATACCATAAAATAGCTCTGACTTCCAGGACTTAACACCAACCAAGTCAACGTCTAAACAAAAATTTTTGGCATCTGTTCAATAGATTCTTCTGCGGCTAACTGAGCCAGTCGGAGACAGTCTGGCTGACAGGTGGGTGTTTCCGTCCCGCTCTGCCCTCATCAGAAAGTTGCTGAAGGCCAGTCTTCTGTACACACACGGCCTTGCCTTCCCTAACGCGGGTGGGATTCAGAGGACACGCTCAGACAGCCTACACAGCAAACACAAATCAATAGAAAAAAATAACTTCTTTTTATTTACAAAAAAAAAAATCCAAATATTGGATGCTGTAAACAAAATTCACAATCTGGTCCCTCTAGCACTGATTCAAACATGTCAGTTTTTAAGAGTACATTTTCCATCCACTCCTTTTCTGCCTGTGACACAGTCTACAGTCAGTATTTCCAGAGTGACCAAGGTGCAGCTTGCTGCAACAGGTTGCCTCAGAGCAGACGATGGTTGCAAAGAGGTTGGAGGGAAGGACCAGGGGCCAGACCTCCTCCATCCCACAAGGCTTTGCAGCAAGTCTCCCAAGTCACCTTGACATCTTCTGACTTTGTACTTCACCATTCACTTTGTTAAGAAGCCATCGTTATAACAAAATACTACAGAGAGATTCATCCTCAGCACTGGAAAGGCTACGCTAAAAGAAATTTAAAGGGAGATTATACTCAGTAGGTGCTATATATGAAATCACTTTTTTTGGCTTTTTGGTTTCATCTATTACACACTTCAACAATAACAAAAAAGCTTATTTTTGAACTGCTGACAGCTTTCAACATAATACATTTCATTTACAAAATAGTTCACAATATTTATTTAACAAGCACTGTGCTGAAAACGTTATGCGCAGCAAAGCAACCGACAGTGAGCAAACAGAAAAGGGGGTCAGACGGTTACGTTCGCTCTGCCTTTCACGCCGCCGTCCCCTGGCTTGGACGACAGGTGTTCCTCCGTCCTTGCAATTCTGGAGCCACTTGAATGTAGTCCACCCAGTACCAAAGTGAGCAGACACCTGATCCCATTTCTGGGAGGACAAAGTCCATCTTGGTGTAGGAGTCCTTGAAGCAGCTGGATTTACTGCACATGAAGTAAACTTTTGAAAAGGGCAATGTCACAGGCTACACATTCTCAGACATGCCAGTCTGGACAGGTGAGAAGAGCCTCCAGAAGACAAAATTTCTTCCTGTTAACAACACAAACTAGGCCAGATCAACACAAACGCAAACAAATCACAGCTGCTAACTGGGCATCAGGGGCCCTTCTGTTCTCTAACCTAGACACATGGTGCTCTCTCACCAGACATTCAGACTTTTGGGACACACATCCACAAAAAGAGACATATATTTCACTGTGTGTTCAACTACATATGCACGAGGCTATCCTACATACAAAATAGAAATAAATTAGGCAAGTCTGGAAGTCAACGCTGACAGCGTCCTGCTGACCAAGGGCCAGCGCCGGCACTTCCCACCAAGCCACCAGCCCCGGAGCAAGCAAGAGAAGAATATAAATATTTGAGAGAATAAATTTAAAGTGTGTTTTCAAATAAGACTCCTCCAAACAAAAACAGGTGTCATAATTAACAGCAGGCTGTTTCTACAGCAGAGCCAAAGACCTCCAGACCCTTTAAAGTAGCAGAGGACTCAAATGCATCCAGGGTGAGGGCAGAGAGCCGCAGATGGGGTCAGCAGCTGCTCCCATGTTCCTCAGCGCTGCTCCCTCAGTTTTCTGTTCCCTTTCAGAAAACTTCCAAACAGCTAAGCAGGGGGAGCGCTGGCTTCTGACAGGTGAGTGCCAGGCTTCATCTGCAAACTCAATAATGTTTCCTGGAAAATTTGCTATTGATTTTTCAAATCCAGGGATGGAACAAAGGAGACTGAGCCAAGGTGGGGAGTAGGAAGAGCTCCCTAGAAAACCGAGTGGCAGTGCAGGGGGAGGCCACTGCAGCTCTGGGATTCACAAAGAAGCTGCCCCAGCAGACTGTGCAGGGTCCCGGGAAGGCTGCAAAGGAAGATGAGCTGGAGACAGTGCAGACAGACAAACCCGGGTTAACCCAGCACTGAGCATCTGAGCAATCCCCACATAACCAAACAAACAACACCACACTGCCGACGGAAGGATACTATTTTCTTCCCCAATCCCTCTTGAACTGATGAGAAACGTCTTCTAAGCAGCCTTCAGAGGAATTCTCAGAGCGAGCAGTCACCTGCTGGGATTGGCAGGGTGATGTGGTGGTTTCACAACACAAGGGAAGATATATCTGTGTTAGTTTTGTTTTTAACAAATGCATTTGCAGAGACCAGTGTCTGGAGGAAGTAATGGCTGGGAGAAGGGGCGGTTTTAGGATTAGCTGTCACTGAACTGAAATAGTTCATTTCACAAAAGTATACAACTGGTGTCTTGGAGAGGAAATGAAGTTGGATTTGACTTAATGCAGTGTGATTTGATTTAAAGTACAGTACTAAATATTTAATTGCAGTATGACAACCAGATCAGTGATGTTTCATATTGACATGAATTTATAAAATGTTATATATAATATATATCTCATATATAAATTTTAAGCAATTGTGCAAATACTCCTTAAAAAGGATCATTTCACATTTTACTAAATTCTAGTGGTCCAGAAATGCAGAATGCATTCACTAAAAGAGAGATTCATTTAAATAGTAATAAGTAGTGTTCAGATCACCAGAAATTCATTTTAGCAGTCCGGGGTATAAGCAGCCTATCACTGACCCATGACCCACTACATTAATCTCCAGGGAGGCATGCGATTACTTAAAAAAAAAAAAATGGGTTCAAACTGTCCAAGTGGCAGTTCAGGGTAAAAAAAGAGTTCTCTTCCAAACAAATATTCTCCCATTTGTGGAATTCTATGGCTCACCAAAAAAAAAAAAAAAAAGAAAGAAAGAAAAGAAAAGAAAAAAGTCACTCAAACTGTATAACTTCTTCTCTTCCTATCAAATATATTACTTGTTCCCCTCCTTCAGCTGCTTAAATATTTTTAGGTGTAGATTTTAATTCATCATTGCAATATGCCCAGGTCTCACGTCATCCTGCTGAAAACATAAAAGCACACAGTATTTAAACATTTCCTATTTGATATATTATTCTTTATCATAGGCGATGTACTGTGTGTATACATACATACCACATGTGTATATACACACATAATACACACACACATACACATGTACTTAGAATAATAACACACCAACAATGTTGACTTTATACAAGTATTTGCCAAGAAAAAATAGGGCATTTTCTCCACCGTTCACAAGCTTATGTGTTGTTTTGTTTTCTTCTTGAGTCAGTCCCTGATAAAATAATCATTAAACCATAAAATAATTTTGCCACTTCAAATTTTCAGAAGGCAACAGGCACTTTGATGTAAATTGGTGTGTAACAAATATAGTCACTCTTTATATATTCTACTATAATTTCTTCTACTTGGGTATTTTTATCTGATAAATCTTTGGTCCTTGAGCGTACTTTCTTTGCTACAGCTGTTTTTGCTTGCATTTTCACATTTTAGAAATGTGAGCTATGCACGCAGCTGGAATTAATGGATTATGTTATCCTAAGTTCTGCTGTTTGTTGTGAGAACCACACCAGCCCACTACTGTTCACTCGGAACAAGTTGTTTCTGTCAGCACAACGGGGTCATCCCCAGAAAGCTCTTGCTCCGAGCCTCAGATAGTAACCCAGTGTCAGAGCGCCCTTCTTCCTGCACTGTTACTATCTGAACTTCTGAACTGACAAATAAGTGGGGGTGAGATGCCTTTTTTCTGTATTTTTCCCTTTTATGAATTCCTTCTTAAAAGAAACTTTCCATTTTCCCACTATGGCAAAGCTATGGGAGCAGACGCTGCAAACCCATATTGTCATTAAACTTTACTTTCCTCATTATCTTAGGAGAAACTGGTTGCTTTTAATGACAGTTCTTTTTCCAGGCTAGAATCCAATTGAGTAGGAGAATAAGGGGAGGGCTAGGAAAGGGGATCCTTTCGAGATCATGCTCCCCTACCTATTCAAAGATCCACAAGCTCTGCCAAGCTTAAAACCAGGAGCTTATCATCATTGCACAAAACACATCCCTAATCAGGGCTGGGTCATTCTTTTTTCTTTTTTTGTTTTTCTCTTTCCTATCTTATCTGAAATGGCCTCCCCGCAGGACGTTGTTAAATGATTCTTAGTTGCAGGGTAGCCAAGTAGAATAGGTCTGTTGCTGGCAGGTGAATACTGGCTGAACCTGTGCGATGTAGTAATTGCTAAAGTTGGCATCTGCTACGTAAGGGGCCGGCTGGTAATAACAGGTGACGTTGGCCACGTTTGGGATGACGTTTTGGTCAGCTAGCACCCGGATGGCCAGCATGGTGATGAGGTTTAACGTCTGTCTTCTCTCGTGGCCCATCAGGCACACGGTGCTCTCATTCACCACCCCGTGGAGGGTCATGAGATAGTCATACTTGCGGTCTTCCAATCCCACAAAGTGGTTCTGCAAATAGGACTCCAGTTTTCTCTGCTGCTCGCCAATGTCTGAGAAGTCGATGAAGAACCTGGAACACATGTACCTCTGGAGGGTCTTGATCTCCTCGGAGGCCGGCCGGAAGCCCCTGACCAGGAGATTGCAGTACTTCAGCAGGCCCCCCCCTCGGATTTCCTCTGGGTTCCGGGTGGCAATGATCTTGTTACAAAGGTGCTCAAAGGCCTCCTGGAAATCGCCATAGACGCTCTCCCCAATTATTGTGGGGTGAAAAGTCTCAGTCATCGGGTTCTCTGAACATTCATAAAAGAGAAGAAGAGAGTCTAATTTGATTTGAAAAGAATCTACACTGAATTCAAACTGCCTCCGGAGGGAATCCACAAATTTCAGTTCCACATTTTTGCCACTGTTGTTTGACAGGGATATCAGACTCCACCGGTCAGAGTCATTGCACACTTTAACCATTTTCTGCACATAAGCTTCCTACAAGTTAAAAGATAAAACAAGGTGAGCAAAGCTAGAAAACAGTGATAAATAAATAAACACATCCTCTGCACAGCTGAGAAGCATTCTGCTCGTTCCCTTTTGCCAACAGCAAACCACTAGCTACAGGCTTAAACGGTCTTCTGAAAACAGAGGAGAAAAAATACCTTTAACGAGCAGTTACACAGTCTGGGAGAGGGACTGGAGGTCACGGTCTGAGGCTTCTGGCAGACGCAGCACAGTACTAAGAGGTTCTGTTGTCATGTCTGACTTTTTAAGTGTTATTTTTTTAAAATGGTCTGATAGGCACAATTTTGTACAGCATCCACACAATACTCAAAAGCGCAGCAGGGCAGGCAGTGGTAAGTTAGTCCGTCCCCCCGCCCCCACCGCGGACCCCCAGGCAACCAATGCTATCAGTATCCTCCAGGAGGACTCCGCAGTTACAACCAGATACGACTAAATTATGGCATTCTGGGAGGCTTGCTCCTCAGACAATTTTAACCAACTTTGCAAAATCAGTCTGGGACCAAAGTGGGAGTCGTCAGGGCCAGGACCCGCTACTGCTCACATGTGAACCAGCATCAAGAACCAACCGCCCGAATTCTACACGCGGAGTCAGCTGAACGCATCTACGGAATCTATTCACATTTTCCAGGACAATAAAAAACCCATTGACTCAGCTCTGCTTCAGCTAATTTCCCAGAGACTAGATCATACATAAAACAACTCAAAAAGAAAAATGTTCACATCGTTTCATTCTTCCAAGTTATCCGAATCTGCTCGGGACCAGACTCCAGCAAGGAAAGACAAGAGTTAAAAAAGCGTAAGAACGAAGAGAAGGGAGGGCCGAGCAGGAAGCGGCAGGGGAGTTGTGGCGCTGAAGCGTCAAGTCGCTGGAACACTCAAGACACCATCCACGCACCTTTCTTTACTCATTAAAAAATAAAAAAACGAAGACACGAACCCAGAGCGGCGAGGGCCGCGGATCCCGGCCATTTCCCTGCAGCGCCTCTGCCCACCCCTGCCCCCTCCCCCCCCACACGGCCGCACCGGCCCAGCCCGGCCGGACCCTCGCGGTCCCCGGCGCCTGTACCTTGAGCGTGAGTGGCGTGATCTTCTCTTTGTTCACCCCCTCGGGTAAGAAGTCCAACAGGCAGTCCAGCACGACGTCCTTCACAGTCTGAAACTCCTCTTCCCCGCGCAGGTCGGCGCAGAAGATGAGGTCCAGGTCCTTGTAGCCTAGGCCGCTGTCCTGGTGCAGGACGTGGCTGGCGGCCGAGCCGTTGAGGCGCACGTCCCGGACGCCGATGCGCCGCTCGGCCAGACGCCGCCGCACCACCTTCACGATCAGGCTGGGCTGCAGTTCGAGCGTGGGGAAGTTGCCGCGCCCGTGGATGGGGATGGTCTCGCTCAAGATGCCGTCCAGCCGCTGCACTTGCTCCCAGGTCAGCACGTTGCAGTGCGCCGTGGGGCTGTCGCAGTAGTCCAAGCAGTGCCCGCCCAGGCCGCCGCCGCCGCCGCCGAAGTCGCCGCAGCTCAAGTCGCCGCCCAGGGGGATGTAAGGGCCGCCGGCCAGCTCGTCGTCGGCCATGGCAAAGTACCCTTCGCCCTCCGCCATGTAGTGTCCGCCGAGCGCCACTTGGCCCTGGTCGGTCCTGAAAGATAAGAGAGGGGTCAGGCGCGCCGGGGTCACGAGCGGGGGCCGAGAGTAGGGGCCCGAGGGAGGCCAGAGCGCGCCCCCTCCCCGGATCGTCCCCTGGCCCGGGGGCTCCTCGGAGGCTGTCCCTCCCCCCGGCCACCACTGTTCCCTGCCGCGCGCCGCGCCCCGCAGAGCAGCCCCGCACCAAAAGTATCTCTGATGCATCTGGAAAGCGCAAGCGAGAGTCCCGTCTGTGTCACCTGGAGGCGGCCGCCCCTTCTAGGAGCGCAGCGAGCGAGACACCGCGAGGGAGGCGGCAGCACTCGGAGGAGCTGCGAGTGCGCTTCAGCGGCGGCTGCGGCGCGGTCTTCCCCCGACCCCAGCCGCCCGCGCCCGCACGCCCGCCCCTCGCCCCCGCCCGCGCCGCTGCGCCCCGGCTGTGGTGGTCCCGGAGGTGGCGGCTCCCGCTGCGCCGCCGCCGTCCGCGCTCCCGTCTCCGGAGCTTTAGCAGTTGTGCGGGGCGAGCGTCCTCAGTACTTTTTTTATACCGGGCTTCTCCCCGCTTCCGGGGCCCCGGCGCGGCGCGCTCGCCACGCCCCCCTCATCTGCATAGGCACCGCCCCTCCCGCCCCCGCTCCCGTGCGCCGGAGGACAGGCTGGACTGCTCCCGTCCCCGGGCAGCGTATGTGCAACTGCGTGTGTGCGTTTCACGCGCGTGTCTGTAGGTGTATTTAATGTGCTCGCTCCCCGCCACCCCTTTTTCTCCAAAGGGGAAGCACTTAAAATACCACAAGAGTCAAAGTGGTCATCAAAACAGATCACGACCAAAACCACGCAACTGCAGAAACTTCCTAGACAAAATTCTGGCGCACACAGCCGGCCGGTAGAGCGTCAGGTGGGGCCCCGAGGCTCCGCACGATCTCTTTTTATACAGCGTAGAGGGGTAGCGCTCCACGAATAAACCGGTGCGAGCGTGGACTGACGAGTCCTTGCGTGAGTGGGAAGGGCTGGCCGACAACTGGGTTTCGATTCTCGAAACCTTGAGAAGAATCGAGATCCAGCTGGGCGAGCGGGGGAGGGTGTGGGGAGGCGGGGGCGGCGCCGGGCCCGGGCGCGCGTCCGCCTCCTGGGCACGGGCGGCCGGGGCGTCCAGGAGTGCGGCGGGGCCAGAGCGTCACCGGCGGGAGCGGGCGGGCGGCCAATCGGCGAGGACGGGGCGGGCCGAGCGGGGCCGGGCGGGTTTTAGCCGCCGAGGGTTTTCCGTTTCAAGTGCGTGAAGATGTTCGTAGCGTGTGATGTGGTTCCCGCGAGACGTACAAGTTTAAAGGGTAAAAAGTTTCTCCTCTCCCGCTGCGGTCGCCTAGGCAGAGGTGACGCTGGCCCTGGGACCGCGCCCCGGCTCGTTCTCGCCGCCTCTTACGCTTCACGCTCGCCCAGAGCAGCTTCGCCTTCTAGAAGCTGCAGAAGGCTGCAGGGGGGAGGGGAAGTGTCAGAAGAGACTATTCCAGGGAACCCGCACACCCCAACTCCCAAGTCCCTGGGCTAGCAGGCCGCCCAGCCAGCGGGGAAGCGGAAACAGTCCGTCCCGACTGATCCGGGGAGCCCGTGTCTAGTCACCGAAGCTGCGCTGCTTTGGGATGGCGGAGTAGGGTGCAGAGTTGTCGCCCGTGGAGCCTCCAGCTGCGTGACGACGCCGCCCCCTGCAGGTGCCCTGCAGAGCTGCGTCACACATGGGGAATCCCGCCGGACCTGTGTCAGAGGCTCTGCTTCCCCAGCCCTGCATCTGAGCCCTGGGGCCTGGAGAAAGTGTCTTCACTCTGTTCTCAACAGCTTGTCTCTTCTGTCACAGCACACTGGCGTGTCCAACTGTGCAGCCGTCGGCACAGGAATCTTTCTTACCCTGGCATTTGATACCTACATGTGTATGCATGTTTACTGTGCATATGTACGTATATGTATTTTGATTACCAGTTATGTGTAGGCGACAGCTGAGAGGCGGGGACTTAAGCATGACTACACTTCTCGCAGTCTAGTGGGCCTGACACCCAAGTGCGTGATTACGGTTATGCTGCAAATGTGTCTGGACAGAAGTACGTATTCCTGTTCCTACAGAGAGCATGGTGGGCGATCTGAGATGGGGACTGGGAGGCCAGAGGGAGCTGTCATTTGGACTGGATCTTGAAGGAATGCACATTCTTTAGTAGTAGGGGAAAAGAGACGAGCATTATCCACAAAAGGAAGAGAATAGAAAAACTAAAGTTTGAGGAAGAATGTGTAGTTCACTGGGGTAAGGTTCGTGCAGATTCCAGCAACTTCTGGCCATGATCTGTTCAGCTTTTTAGCATAACACCTCATTTGCTGTAATCTTCAGTTCACAAGAAGGTATTCCCGTGTCATAGGGATTTGGAAACAGAGGAACCTAGGAGGGTAACAGACCTAGGTCAAGTTCCACAACCAATAAATTCTGAGGTCAGGCCTTGAACTCAGTGATTTTAGTCATTGCCAGCAACAGTGTGTAACTTACCAATACTTTCTCACTGAACACAAGACAAGCACAAATAACTAGGGGATTTTAAACATTAAAAAAAGATTTGATAGAAATGTTTCCTTCAAAAGCATTGTGAATTCTGCCCCTTAAAAAGCAAAGCCAAGGCGCAGAGTGGTTTGCTCACCCCGGTAGTCCCCGCACTCTGGCATTTGATACCTCTGTGTGTCTGCACATTCATGTGCCCTCTGTGAGGCTGAGGCCAGAGTTAGGAAGAGCCTGAGCAAGAGCCAGACCCCATCTCTACTAAAAATAAAACACACAGCCGGGTGTTGCAGTGGGTGTCTGTCCTGAGGCAGGAGGACGCTTGAGCCCTGGAGTCGGAGGTTGCTGTGAGCTATGACACCACAACACTCTACCCCGGGAGACAGAGTGAGACTTTGTCTCAAAAATAAGTAAATCAATACAAATAAAAGCAAGGTCAAAGTGTAGATCACTATACCTTAAAAAAAATAAATAAGGGTTTAACCTTGATGCCATTATTCCATGTTTTTATTTTTACTGTCCTTCAAAAAAATGAATGGATGGATGGATGGATGAGTAAAGCAAGCAAGCAGAAAAATCTCAGAGCCTGTGATCACCTCTGAACACCCAAGATTGTGTTCTTTGAGGCCAGAGGAATCTGCACAGGTGCAAGCTTCCAGGGTGATCCTGGCAGAAGGCCCAGCCACCACAGCCCGGGGCCCTGTGTGAGTGTCCACCCTAAGCAGAAGCTGCTCTTCTCTGCCCAGCTGCGCCCAAGGGCCTCTCCTGAAAATGGTGGGCACAGCTGACAGTTGGAAACAGCATGACCCGGGACGTGGAGGGCCTGCCATGTGCCACAGTCTGTGCTGAGGAAGAGGAATCCCATTAGCGGTGGGGCAGAGCTCTGTGGCAGCACTTCCTCCTTCCCAGCCATAATCCAGACCCCGCTGCCTCCAGCACTAGGACCTCTGGCATACCTGAATTTTGGTGGTGACTTGCTGGGCAATTTAACCTTTGGATTGACATGTGCGTGCCCATGGATAGTGGCCAAACATCGCATATGGTTGAGTTCATTGCCCCTCTTTTCACTGCCTTCAAACCGAAATAGTTTTTACATTCTGGAAAAAAAAAAAAGTTCATCTTTAGATGATATTGCAAATTTTGCAATTGCAGACATTTTTTCACAATAACCAGAGTAATTATCAAATGAGAAGTCCTATCCTTTCCAGCACTTTCATAGCCAAGGTAGTTCTCAACGTAGTTACTCTTAAATTTAGATGCAGAGGTACCATATGTTTTTTGTTTTTTTTTTTTTTCCGGGCTTTAATGTGTAAACCAATTTGTCAAGTTTTACTTTTCCCCACTTAAAAGGAAAAGTGAAAAAGATCTATGGCAAAAAGATGCCATGAGCTGATAAAGATGCCCACAGAACTGAACCTTGGACAGTCTGAATCTGTACTGCTTTTTGTGTGAGCAAAAAGAGCCCTTCTATGGAGTTTTTAAAGAAAAGCTTTATGTACATTTTTGAGAAACATTCACACTAGTTGATCTTAAAAATTCTGATAACAATCAAATGGAGTTAGCACAAAGAGAAGGAAGATACTTGGCTTTGACCTCCATTACTGAGACTGAGTTTACTATTATATGCCAGACAGGGTGCTCAATACATTCTTTCGAATGTTTTCCAAAAACAAGAGCTTTACACATTATGTCACCATCACTGCATCCACAAGTAGGTCCAGTCACTTAGGGAAGCAGCAGATGTTGGTTGAGACCTGTGCACGTGGCTCCCTTACATTCAGCTCTCTGTCTGCTCATAATTTCTTTCAGGCTTAAATTTTAACTGGACCTGCAGTTGGCCTCTTCTTTCCAAGTTCTGGATATTCAAGGTTGGACATAACCTTGGGGACCAAGGACTTTTATCTTGAAACAGCTGGTGAACTCACAATGACAGGACTTCGTGCCCAGCTGGGAGTGACCCCCAAGCCAGCAGCCTTGGGGAGAGCTGCAGGAAACGCCACCCATGAGCACAGTGGGCAGTGTGAAGCGTGTCCCAACCCACTCAGCATGGTGTCACCCTTCCCCTCTGCTGGGTCTGCTTCCCACCCTCCCAACCACGGTTCCGGAAGCTAGAAAGCCAGCACACGTGACACTATTCCCCAGAGCTCAGACCCAGGAGGAGGGAGACAAAAGCCGAAAACACCGCGGCCTGCTGTCCCCTCTCCCTCTCCGCACAGCACTGTGGCCGGTCTCCCCGCACTCCTGTCCTGGGGCTTCTCACACCGGCCCTCTCCCCTCTTTCTATTGATTTTCCCCCTCGTATCCCTTCCACTCTTTGATCCTTTCCACAGACAGTGACGATTACCCCGTGCAGGGTGATTGGAGCAGTGCAAGTTGAGCAATCTGAGGATGGCGCCCACCTCACCCCACCCAGATCTGCCTCTATAGCACAATGCAGTGACTCCCAAGACCGCTGGGGACGGCGTCCTTTTCCACACACGCACACACAGTTGAACTCCCAGCAGAGAGAAGTGGAATCTCTCTGCTGTCTAGTTAGCATTGGCAGAAGAGCATCTGAACAGTGCACTCCTTGTAAACTTCAAAAATCACTTGGAAAACTACATTACCTGTTTTCACAGAGAAATAGTGCTTGTGAAATGCGTTCTCCTGTGTGTCTTCAGGGAAATAAAAAATGTTTACTCACTACCTCTGGAGACCAGCAGTATCCTCAGTCTTACCACTTGTAGGTTAGTTTGGGAATAATGTTCCTAAGTATAATTTGTATGTTATTAGTCATCAACAGATTAGCTTTATAGTTTTAAATTTTCATCCTTTTTTTCTCCTATATCATTTTATCTTCAAAATTATTCTGATCAGTATGCAATTATAATTTTAGAGATGAAGAAAGGCCAGGTGATTTCCCCTATGTTTATACAGCCAGTTATGGGAAAGCTGGGTTAGA